CCCAACCCCAACCCTAACCCTAACCCCCTAACCCTCATCCTCACCTTAACCCACAAATCATCTCCCCGGCGACTTCCAGCGATGACGGCAAAGAGGCTGCATGTGCTTCGCATGGCCGATCCCGGGCACACGTCAGCGATTCGCCGGAAACGTCTCGTAATGACGATAGCGAAGATGATGAATTGGAGATCTGTCGGATGAATACAGTACGTGCCTCTGGACATAACGGAAAGCAGCCGAGGGTCCTCGCCAGAGCCGCTGGAATGAGGAGGTAAGTTCTGACGAGTTTGCAAGTTCCCATTCAAAACTGTAATTTCTTATGCCCTCATCAGTCAGTTTTATCCACCACTACATCCCCCACTATACTATAAAGTTGCCAGTAACACTAATCATTTATGTACAGTTGATGCGTCTCGTAGATGTGGATGAAAATTTGCACCGTAAATGTGCTGACTTGCGTGTCGCCATTCTAGGTTTTAAGAAAAAAAGACAGGACACATTTGGTCTGCTCAGCTCTGCTAAGACCACTAGTGTTCAATTCATATTCCATTTAATTTCAAATTGGATGCTGAGCAATGTGGAATGAATAATAGTAATAATTCTTTTTATTTAAAAGCACCTTTCATGCCACCCAAGGACACTGTACAGACAATGAGGAAATACAATGTAAAAATAGATCAGAGAAATATATAAAAACAGGACATAAAAATCACAAAATGTCACGTAGCGAGGTGGTGGTGGACCCCAAAAAAGCAGGCAGGAGGGAGGAGCAGGGTGTACTTGAAAGATTGGATTAAAACTCAGAAAACCAAATCCAAAACAAAGTCCAAAGTATCAAACAAAACACATGACCGAAGATAAAACATAACAATGACGAAAACCTGACTGAAACAAACATGACAGTAGCACAAAGCAACAATGACCCGACAATGATTGCTCGGGCTGGGAGTCCTCTTAAAGCCACTAATTATCTAATGACCAACAGGTGTGCAGCTTCAGGGAAGCCCTACAGTGCCACCTGTTGGTCCCAAACCGAATCATGACAGTACCCCTCCCTCAAGGGACGGATCCCAGACGTCCCAAAGGTGTCCAAAGGCTTT